CTCTGATTTACTTAATGATAAATGTGATCACTCCATATGGTGGAGGTCCTAGCAGTCTGATCCCCAGCTACTGAGGCTAGCTGCAGGAACACTGAATGCCACCTCCCTGGTGGGGAAGGAGCCTTAGTAAGTGAGTAAGTGAGAGATACCAGGTAGAATGAATGAAAGCTGACAAACATGCCCCTCTATTGAGGTATAGCCTTCTAATTTAACCAACAGGTTGTCCACACAGGAAGCGATTCACTTGTCATGCATCACTCTCTGGCAGTTGGTAGCTAGTGGATATTCAAGGCTCCAGTTGATGGGGTAACACTGTAATGGATTTACCACCCTGTCATTTGTCAATCAACCATATCTTTTACTGCCATTGATAGTGATTCCAATCACTGGCCTCAAAATTAAAGAAAGCTTAACTCGAATGTCGGAGCCCAAAAACATTTAGAGTAATACACTGATATGCAATTAATGTTTTAATTTTATCATTTTGTTTCCAGTCTTGTTTTTTTAATGTGTTTGCCACATTTACTTTCCTAGCCTTTTGCCACATTGCACAGAATTTCAACTGAAATAATATTTTAAAACAAATTAACTGGAGATTAATGGTTAAACCTTTGCTTATTCAAAAAAAAAATCACAGTGACAATTAGTTGTTATCAGTACCATGAAATGGCCATATATTTTATTTTATTTTATATTTGACATTATGTAATAAATGCCATCTAGCTTGTTAATCTATTAACATTACCATTAAGGCGTTTAGTATGACAGTGTTAAACTGGCATTAATACTTATCTAGAGAAATTCTCAGCTTCTGCAACTATTTAAACATCTCATATATTTTCTAACATAACTTCTGAAGTACGATCATGTTAAACGTATAGTTGTGTTAACATAAATGCTGCTGTTATTATAATAGAGCAAACCAATACAAGTCTCTTCTCTATGACACCAGTCTTGCTGCTTGTTTCTCTCTTATTGTTAAATATAACATTTTTCCTCTACAAATCCTGCTTTAAAATTATTTCTACTCATATGCACTACCTGGTGGTGAAATCCATGCAGCACAGCCCCACATATTTATCATGCCTATATAATTTATACTACTTCAGGGGAGGTGCAGGAGGAGCACCAGTGGTATCCTGCAAAGTTGTAATGACAGTAGAAGACACTTAACCCACCCAACAGGGAGCCACCTGACTCCACTATCTACCACTGAGTTAGTGGAAAGAAGTGTTCATGATGAATTAAAACAAATAACTAAGGAACAAAAATGAAGATTTATCCTTCTAGGGGTGAAAAAAGAGGAAGAAGAGTTAACTTTAAAAAAAAAAGCAAGACAGTGTAAATTTAGCAAATATTTAAATATCAAATAATAAATATTATAGGTTTAAATGCATATAATGCTTCAATAACAAAATCATGCTATTTTTATCTTAGCTGTGGGGAAATGAACCTGTCACCTCCACTAGCAGCTTAGCTAACAAAGCAGCCTGGTCGGTCCACGTCTGCTGCCAGTGAGGTGACTAATTCGAGTGTGTGCAGCCAAAAGTCAGAGCTGGGACATCGGCAGTTTACTTGTTACTGTGTGCAAAAGCTAGTAATTACAGTAATAACACTTCATGATCAGTCAACTGGGTCCTGGGTTTTGTTGTAAAAATAAATATAGAGGAATTTTGCAGTACACCAGTAAAGCTGTGTCTGACAAAATGACTGTCAAGTTATGAATGCTAAGTTATGAAATTTAGACTAAAAGAAATTTAGTCAAGCACTAAGGGGTACTGGTGTAAATTATTAATTATTGTGTTATTGTGTATTTTATTGTATTTTTCCTATAGGCTGGTTTTATTGTTCTTCATGTTTGTTTTTAAAATGAAGGGTTTTTTTTATGTTTTTTTAATCTTGAAAATACTCATTTTGATTTTATATATATATATATATAGATATATAGATATATCATATTTTTATATTTATGTCAAATTATTTATAACATAATGTTAACAAATAGCAGTTGAAGTTGTTCCCTGTGAGTTTTTTCCTAAGGCCCCAACAGACCTTTTGAAAAAGGATGTCTTTCAAAGAAAGCATGTGCTGCATGTGGAAGGACAACACATTTTTGTTCTATTAACATACTTATATTACACAATGCTACAAATCCTGAAGCCTACATCTCTGCAGCATTCATTTCTTTACAGCATACATGCTTGATATATTTAAGACATTGATTAGTTTTTTTTCTCTTTGGTAGTGACATTCACTTTTTCTATTCATGCAAGTTGGTTGACATTTCTGTGATAATGCCTCATTTGCATTTTAACTATATATACTGAAATATATTGAAAAATATTCTTAATTTAAGGTGTTCAGGTTTTGTTGTGATACCTGTTGGCTAAATTGTTTATAACTAAATACTAGAATAGTATTTTACAATACTTATTGGTGAGCGAAATGCAGTTGGGGTAATCCTGGAAGCAACATAACATAAACAAATCATGTCTGAGTGAAAGTAATCAACTATGGACATATTCTGTATAATACTTTCATCTGTTGGTTAAAAGTTTTCCTCTTTTAACCTGAAGTGAATGAATTTTTGACCCTGAAATGTCATGACCATAGATTCTCGATCAGAATAAGCAGCCTAAAATGTTAAACTGACTATCTTTAAGCCACTTTTCACTTTTTCCTTGTGATGCAGTCACCATCATGCTGGAAAATGAAGAGAATTTCACATAATTGTCCCTAGATGACTGGAAGATGTTAGTCTTTGAGGAAACATCTGTATGATCAAGAAGCAGCTAGAGAAGCCGAGGCCCACAGAATGTGGGTTTTGAACACCGATAAGGAAAAGGAGAGGGATCAGATGCTGATAACCTGCATGCTCGAGAGGTGCTGTTATGAGAAAGAAGACTCATCATTATATTGCTGACTCTTTACATGAATGCAATTTATTTGCCAAGACGTTTTTGAAAGTTGTGAAATAATTACTAAATTGGATAAAGATGATAACAGATAACTTTTATCACTAATGAAATAATATCTTAGATGAGGTAAATGAAAATTACATATACAACAAATTTACCTAAAAGTGGTGGAGAATACATTTGGAGGAGGAGCTGTTCTAAGAGGAGGAAGGAGAGAGGAGGGCCCTGTCTTGATCAGACATATTTTGCTGGATTGAGGTATTACCTGCAATTACCTGAATGCTGTTTGACTGAAAGTGTGAGTTCCTTAGCTTTTAGCGCATTTATTTGATAATCTCACGGTACTTAATAAATTTCACTTCACTTCACTTGGATTGTTTATGTTATTTTACAATCATTAAAGTGAATGTATGCTGTGATATAAGAAGTCGTTTAGCGAAAAAAAGCAGCATCAACTCTATCCTACCACAGCTGAAGAGGACTCTCCCACAGTGTTGATCACAGTGTCTATCACCCTCTTCTTAAACACCAAACATGAACCGAATAATGATGTAATGGTGATGGGTTATATTTGATAAGACGTGACCAGCTTATAAATGTGATCTGAGGCCGAGCTTAGACTACTTGTGCAGAACTCACTCTATTTAAAGCAAGCGCTGTTTGGCTGCTGCTCAAGGAGCCCATTCTTTTCTTTTTCTTCTGTTTTCTTCTTAAAGGAAATTAGCTTTTGAAACTACCGATAAAGTGAAAACATTATCTTAGTCCTGCATTATTCATTCAATATAAAACACTGAATGAATGATCTTTCTTTGTCCTGCGCTTCTAAAATGGTCCCATTATCCTTTATTTCGTTAAATATTTAAAATGAGAAAATATGCTCACAGCAGGCGACAGACATTGAGTTTGCGGATGAGATGTCGACACCATATGCTCTGTCATTAGAAGACGAAAGGAAGGAGGAGACCACTCCACTCCACTGCTGCTCTGCGCAGATCGACGGATGTAGAAGACCAGAGGAAGGATTAATTAATGGACACCAGACAGAAGTCTGTTACGGTGTCAGCCCTTAATGTTTTTAGACGGCTGAAAAGATGCTGATCAAATTAAAGCATATCCATACAGGAGACGGAGAAAAGACGCCCTTTGAAAATATTTACTTTTGATTTTGATGTAACAAGCTTTGGTTTCTAAATCGAAAACATAGCTGTTCATTACAAGCTGTCAAATACAATATATTTTTGTCTTTATTAACTCATAATGAAAATGTACATTTTCATTATGAGTTTAACTGAATTAGCCCCGTGTTATTCCCAACCTGTTGTTGATTTTGCATGGTTTTGTTTTAATTTGATATATATTATTTACCAGTTTACCCCGCCTACCTGTTCTAAAAATGAAACGTTCATGCATGTTTTTATTATTATTATTATTATTATTGTTGTTGTTGTTGTTGTTGTTGTTGTTGTTGTTGTTGTTGTTGTTGTTGTTGTTGTTGCAGTGAAATGTAAATTATACAAATAACGGAATTAACTTCCGTATATTTCTCTGTATATATTTTGTATTTTTAACCTGCTATTTTTTTTCTTTAGTCAAAGGTTAATTGACGCTTAAATCACCAATAATTCCCATTGGTTTCTGTGCGCTACCAGCTACGCCTAAAGTGATTGTTTTATATACAGTAGGTTATTGTTCTAGTTCTATTTCTTTCTCTTTTTCCAATGGACAGGTAAACGTAATAGTTTTAATCTAAAAAAGTATCTTTCAGTTTCATTCTGCACTTTTATACCTTGAGGAGCTGATTTAATTGTTATGAAAATGGAAACCTTGGGAGCAGTAAGACGGGTATTTTTTTTATTTGTTTCAAATGTGGAAAACCTTAAAACATGATTTTCCAGGTGAATTAAAAAAAATGTCGTGCATTAAATTCCCCTGTAGAATGAAGCGTAAAGGCAATGATCGTGAATACTGCTGTGTATAAAGCGCCAATGGAGCCTCCATATCCTTCGTCCTATCAAACAGAACAGGGTTTTATTAGTTTACACTTTAGAAGTCCTCAATTCTCAGGTTTGAGCTCTCCTGCCCTGTCCTACCCAGGGGTCCTCCCTCCTTAGCGCCTTCCTTCCCTCCCCTCCGCCGTTCCCACCCAGGTCTACATCAGATCGCCGATCCGTGTCACGTGTTTTACTCCCGTACAAATTTTCCAGTAGGAGAGCGAATAGGCGCACACTCATAACAGCAATTATCAGCGACAGTACCTATCTCCAGATATACGCAGAGGAAGAAGAGCGCTCCAGTGATCCCGGACTCCCCTTCCCCCTCCCCCTGGAAAAAAATCATTTTACTTTTGCTTACATTTATCTTCCACCACTTGTGAGCAACTTTAACGCACTAAAACCGAGATATTTGGAGAGGCTCGGCTGAGCTCCATCGTCTGTCTGCGTGGGTACGAAGAGAGAAAGTTTGCCTACTGCGCTTGTCTGCTGAAATTTTTGACTGGTAAAAGACCAGACTGCTTTATCACCCGACCGTCCTTATCTGGTGAGATAATGCACTGAGAGCCCTTGGAAAGAAACTGCGTTCCTCTTGTACACGGCGCAGAACCATTATCAACGTTTCATGTGTTTTGATTTACTATTGATAGAAAGTATATGCATCACAGATATGGAAGGGGAGCTCGCTATCTTTTGTGGTGTTTGATTGAGTTTCCGTTTCTGATTTAATGAGCCAACTGCGGAGGCGCAGGATGTGTGGGGTTGCTGATAGTCGCCTCCGAGTGTGCAGATATCCTTGATCATTAATGTCATTCTAATCCATTCCATGTCTCAAGGTGATATAGGTGAAATATGTCTGACGCGGATTGTCGAACTTTCCTTTTGGCATGGCTCATTGATTGGGGAAAAATAGGTTTTATTTTTGCGCAATAAAGCTTAAGGCTGGGTGGGTGGATCAGTTGCTCATGAAACCTTTCCAGTGTTTTTTCAGCTATCTTCTTTCTCTGTACATTTATAACAATGCAGGATTCACATCAAGGCACAAAAGTTCCTCAGGAGAGTGTGGATGAGATTTGTGGACATCTCTGCAGTCCTGCGACAGGCTGAGGAAGCCCTCCCCGTGTTTTTCCAGTTTTCCGCCAGGAAGTAGATTTTAAAGAGAGAAAAATGTATCAAAGCCTGGCCTTTTCTTCCAATCAGTCCCATTACACGCATGACGCCGGGAATTACATCCATCCCTCGGCCAGCTCTCCCGTCTACGTCCCTTCCACCAGAGTTCCTGCCATGCTGCCCACCCTGCCCTACCTGCAAACCTGCGACTCGCCCCATCAGTCTCACGGCCTCAGTGGTCATCACGGCTGGCCCCAGGCCGGCACAGACGGCTCTTCCTTCACGCCCAGCAGCCCCCATCCCTCACATGGATTCTCCTACTCGCACAGCCCGCCCGTGAGCACCAACACCGGGCGAGATGCAACCTACCAGAGCCCGCTGGTTCTCGGAAACGGAGCTCGCTCTGACCAGTACGGAGGCGCTCTGGTGCGCTCAGTCGGAGGTTCCTACTCCAACCCGTACCCCTACATGAGCCCCGAGATGGCGACATCCTCCTGGACACCGGGACATTTCGAAAGCGGGGTGATCAGCCTGCAGGGCCGACAAGGTGGTCTGTCGGGGAGAAGATCCAGTCTGGGTAAGCACATAAATCAAGTTTCTAAAACTATTGCGAAATCCCAGTTCCCTCTGATTTACTGGAATTTTTAAAATTATTTTTTTAACGAAGTATGAAAGACTGACAGTAAATATTTTTTTATTCATAAAATAATTTTTCATAATTTGATCATTTTTAATATGTTTTCAACGGGGGGATTGATGTTTTCTTTTTTTTATAGCCACAAGATCATATTACCGCTTGAAAACACTCGTAAGCTAAATTGTTGCATTTTCCTTCCAAATATTAAGAACATAATAACAATCACGTCAGTCTATGCTTGCTTTATGTCTTCTAATTATTGGTTGCTTAATGTCCAAATGTCAGCATCAATAAGACGAATTGAATATTCTGAACATTTTGTTCGTGAAAACGGTGTTGTTGTTGCTCCACAATCATTGTTATTGTTTTTAACATGGCAGAGGTTCTTTTTAAACCTCATTTATCGGTTGTAAAGGCCAGGCAGTTATTTATTACAGCGGCTGACAGAGAGGCCTGTAAACATAATGCTTGTGCCATGCGGTCGGTGATTGAATCAAGGTCCCCTAACAATCCCACATTAGATTTAAACAATACACATTCATCAAGAAGAGAGTGACGCTAAAGGGGGATCGATTAAAATGTTAATTTAATTCCCTGCTTTAATCACGACCTTCAATACACACGGGGAGAGAAAAGCCCAGTGAAAAGGGCCACTGCCGTGACAATAAGAGCGGTTATCACCTTGATCAGACAGTCGAAACGTCTCTAAGTGTAGCCGTCAGCATTTATTTGGAGGCCACGTGTTGGATCGGGGAGACAGGAGTGTTTGAAGTTCATGATTTAGAAGAGTTTGATGGTTTGACACCACTTAAAAATGTTAACAGATAAATGAAACCCAATTTAACTCTTTAGTGTATTGTTGGTTTAATTAAAGAGTCCATTATTATAGAAAGGCTCAACAGTGAGTTCAAATGGGTTTATCTTTTCAATTATCAGGTAAACATGATAATTGAACATAAATGTTCATACAAGGATCTCTTGCAGTATTCTTAGTGGTAAAGTATTAATATCCTCATAAACTAATGGGGGATCTCTGGCCCACATTTGTTAGTGGGCCCTTTTTTTAGGTCCCAGGATTGACATGGATATTTTACATATCAGGCATTTAAATTTGTGCACAAAGGAAAACAAAACTAGTCGGTCTTTATGGCCTTAAATACTTGGGCAGAGTTTATGGTCAGAACAGTCTTGATAGTTAAAATGTGTTAACAATAAAGTTTTCATCGCCCCTATAAAGAAATAAAAAACATTTATTGGTGCAGTTTTGCTTCTTTCCTGCTTTCTTTTAATTTGATTGACGGGGACGAAACAAGCTTTGATGTTTTGTGATTCTGCATTCAAATATTTCAAAAACGATTAAATAATCACTGGGTAGAGCTAAAGTTTAATGATATAGCAATGAAGCGCACAGCCGATTACTTATTATTAGTGCATTAACCGAATCAACATTTGGGGACAAAAAAGAAACGTTTTCAGGCAAGGGGATAAGTCTAACCATGAGGCTATTCAACTTATGGGACGTTAACTTGTTTTAAAGAGTTCATTTATCTCATCATGGCTAGTTTTATCATTTTACTACTCATAGATCACTATAAACGCTGCTAACTCACTTTCTAAGCGCATGTATTTTTTATGTAACATGTGTGTTTACTTTAAGGGTTTTCATGTTCTAAAGCAATCTAGTGTTTTGTGTTTTGATCTCAAATCCCAATTTTCATGTCATTATTTCCAACCCTAAGCATTGGAGATGATGATTATCTTTAGGCTGACTGTGAAGATTAATTTGGACCGTTTACGGAAACATAAATCCATTAATTATTCTCAGACATCTTAAATATGAATAACTAGTATTTCAGAAAATCTTTCGGTTAATATTATTCCTGTAAAGTGTTTGGTAATTAAAACGCAATGACCCTTTTCAGTTTTACTCGCCCTTTATTTTGTGATGAATTCTTTTCTTCCGAAATGATGAGAAATACAATCACAAGTTCAAAGGGTGAGTCCCAGCTTTGTCCCGACGGACGTGGTCTACTTCAGGTCTGGCTCGCTCTTTCTGTCTCTCTTTCTCTGGTTTATCGATGGAGGGATTAGGTATTTGAGCAATTAATGCCAGGAGTCCGCAGTGTGTCAGAGAGTGATGAATGTGGAGGTTGAGGTGATGGCGGAGGGGGTGGCGGGGTGGGGGGTGGCCGCTGAAAATGCTACCCCCAAACAGATTCCTCTATTTGATTCATTCGCATGCGTTTGAGCGCCCTTCATCATACGGACTGCGTGGTGGTGGGTTACATTCCTCCCTGGCTATTCATCAGGCACTGGACCGTAGCCACGACAGCGCCACGCACGCCCGCGTACGCTGTAAAAGTTCAGAAGAAGGTGTTGTAATAAGGCATGTAGTCTTTTGAATGTATTCATCTAAGGGTACCAGAGAGACCAAAACGTCGTGAAACCACGGAGATAAGAAGTGTTAGAGATTGTCAGAGATTGGTCACGTTGGACAAACTGGAAGTGAACACGAGTACCATGTAAACGTTTAGGCCTAAATAATCTCCGAAACTCAAATGAAATAAACTGGCCAACAGCCATGAAATAATCATGTAATGTGCAGAGTTATGGTATATGTGTACATGCATTCAGTCTAATGTGCGTTTTCCCTGTCTGTGTTCAGACCTGATAGACGACATGCCCACGGAGGGCAGGGAGTGCGTCAACTGTGGCTCCGTGTCGACCCCGCTGTGGCGCAGAGACGGAACCGGGCACTACTTGTGTAACGCCTGCGGCCTCTATCACAAGATGAACGGCATCAACAGGCCCCTCATCAAGCCGCAGAAACGACTGGTAAGACTCGCCGAGATCGAAAAAACATAGAACTTAAAAAAAAAGTATAACTATGTAGCCTATATTACACTTGGGCGATACCGAGTCAGCCTACCTCATGATTTGCATTTTTCAAACCACTCTGCCATTCAACAGACTCCAAATTGTTTATTTATCGATTTCTTTTAGCTGAATTTATCGTCTGGTGTAATTTAAACTATAAAATCATTTCCGGTATTTCAACCAGATATAGCATTGGAAATCATCAGTAAATGTAATCCTCATTAATATTCAAATATTCAATAATTTAAAAAATACATATACTATTACTATGAGGGGGCCTTTCCGATTTTTTTTTTCAATGGATTGTGTGTTGCACTTTAATGTTGCAAAAGGAGAGCAGAGTCAGCAAAAGAATCAAAGCAACGGTCTTGAAAATAAAAGATTATTATTCATTCTAACAAGAAATAAAAAAAATATAGATTTTTTTCAACTACCTTAATTTACCAGCAGATAATCAAAAAGCATAAAGATGCAAATTTATATTTCATCTCTGACACACTTATATTTTTACCACAAAGTTAAACAACTATACATTTTTTCTAGTACTGTAAACTGTTGTGTTCCATTTTTTTTTCTCCAGAGGCTCATTTCTAGACATCTTTTTGAAATTATTTTGTCCTTAAAATCTTTGAACAGGCATAACATCTCCTCCATCAAACTGGGGTAACTGCATGCAACAATTATCATTTAAGTGCCTGGAACCATATTTGACTGTAATATAATGAGAATAAACACTCTGTTGTGAAACTTTCTCTCATGGCTTACTCATCAAATGGAAATTACATTGCACATTATTGCTTTTATAGCTTTTGACAAGCTGGTTACAAACTGAACCTGCAGTTATGTTAAGACTGTTTTTCCTCAGTCTACAGTTTAAAACCAACCATGTTCTATTTATACTGATATAAATACAGCAAATCATCACTCTGGGGGAAGCTGGGATAAAGAAAAAGAAAATTTTTGCTTTAAAATTGTTCAGTTTGTTTTTGTAATCTGATATTATATTTTTTTTAAAAACAGTTATTCCAGTGACACTTCATTAATAAAAATGAAAGTATCTTAATACACAATTATGAAAAGAAATCCAAAATAAGCAAAAACTTGATAACAATGAGGAGAAAACAGGGGACGACTGAAGCAGCTAAGCAGGGATTCAGATAACACCCATGCTTTCCTTAAATGGCCAAGTTATATTGTTATTAGTGTATAAAGTTAAATGTTGAAATGAATTACTGGTAATCAGCAAGATAAGCAAAAATGCATCACTGTCAAAGTATTAAATCTCCAATAAGACACTTATTGAACACTTTACTTTTCTCATGTGACTTAGGTCTTTATGCCCAGATTCTTTGGTAGATCTAATATATCTTGTTTCTTGTTTTAACCTCCTGAGACCCAAACTCTTCCACGGCATGCATTTTTAATTTCTCTTTGATATTTGGTCACATTGGGGCCTGATGAAAGTAAAAACAAAGAATTACCAGATTTTTTTAACCTTTTTTTTTTTTAAGAAAAATGAGAGCCACATATGAGGATATTTGTTTAAAATTTTGACAGAACAGTAGCAGTATAATGTTCTCGTAAGTGGATATCAGGCCCATGTAGACCAAAACTGAGTATTTTGGTCTAAATAACCCAAAATGTGATGTCCACATATGTGGACGCCAGGTCCTGGGAGGCTAAAGGAGATATTAATTAGTAATAATTCAGAAAATGTGAACGGCAATGTTAGTGCATGGAGGCTTCAAGGGCTCTGTATTTCCCAGGAACTTCCAGCTCCAGAGCAACTGTGACTGTCAACTACTCAACAAACTATTTCCACAACAAGGCTTTTTTTTTACTGTTTTTTATTTGTCCTGTGCTGACCTTGCCCTTGATTCGAGCTGTTTTTAGACAAGTTTCTGCTTAGCAACGGGATTTTCTGCTGCTGCTTTTGTTTCGCCCCAAACCAAACAGATATTCACACATGAAAGAATTATTTATGTTGCCTTTACATGTTGTCCAGCTAATGAGTTATTATTTTCTCTTTTGCATGGGCCTGGGGGCATTCATCATTGTTATACCAAACATACCAGCATCCTGCAATTCATTGGAAAAGTTGAGGGAACAGCTTAACGCCAATTTCTCAAACCTTACTTCAAGATGTGATCTGTGATTTCAGACAGTTGATAATTTACCATTCAAATATGTCCTCCTGCAGCAGACCACATCACGCCGGGCCGGCTTGTGCTGCACTAACTGCCATACCAGCACCACCACACTGTGGAGACGCAACGCTGAGGGAGAACCTGTCTGTAATGCCTGTGGCCTCTACATGAAGCTACATGGGGTAGGCCATGCTAAAAGGCTCTTTCAGCAAGCTTCTTGCTCCAGCAGGGAGCAGATCATTATTTGCACAGCGTAAAACCTCTCCAAGGGCACTGTGGTCACTGTTATCAGAGTGTGGGAGGAGAGGTTGTGTGGGTTGTCATGACACTGTAGCCTCTGTTGTATTAGGGCCTGGGAGGTAGACTGAACTTATTTGTGTTGCTATATTCCTTCCAGGTGCCCAGACCTCTCGCAATGAAGAAAGAGAGCATTCAGACAAGGAAGCGGAAACCCAAGATGCCCAAGAATAAAACATCCACAGGTAGGTCAAACAGACACTAAAATATGTAGGATGTTGTGTAGAAGAAAAAGCTGGTTAATGAAAGCAGTGTCAGTCATGTGAGTAGCTACTAACAACAAATGAAATAAGCAAGAAAAACAAAAAGATTATGCCAGAATTGTTTGAGAATCTGCCTTCTCTAACCCTTTCTGGGTTAAAAGTTTTTCAGAATCTGCAAACCATTCTGAAAAGCATCTCAGTGTATTAACATAATAATAGCTCATATTATCATCCTGCTGATTCTTCAGGATCTATCACCTCTGACACCGGCTCCCCAACCTCCCTATCAGTCTCAGAGCACGCTTCCACTATTAAGAGTGAACCCAACATGGCCCCGTCACCCTATGCTGGACAGACTGTCACATCTGCCACTCAGGTAAAAGGTTTTCCATGCAAATTCTATGTTTGACTGTGTAGAAACTAAACTGAGCAGCAATTATTTAAACAACTGCTCAACAGATTTTAGTTTTGGCTATTCTTTTGTGTTTTTTTAATGCATCTATTTTTTCTTTTTAAACTCTCCTTGCACATGGCTAGTAAGTGGCACATGAAATAGATGTCTAGATGTCTCTCCCATATCCCTCTGCCAATGGCTTGTCAATATTTGGAATTTCTCAAGCTGTTAAAGGTCCTTCAGAAATGTCTGACCTTTATGAAAATGCTCTTTTCAGCTTGATTCTAACATGCTAAAACCACATCAATAAGAGCAATGGTGCAAAAGTGATTGTAGGAAGTAACCATGTTTAAGACGTTAAGCTCTGTCATACTCACAAAAAGAGATGTGAAAGAAGAGGTGACTAAAAATTCCAGGTCGTGAGCGTATAAATGTTTTAAGTTGCTCTTCTACTCCCAAACCTTCACAGGTTTCTTTTTGCAGTTTAATCCACTGGATCCGAATTAACTTGTCAATGAAGGGGATATAGAGCCTAATGTGCTATAATCACATGCATTCATCGACATGACTCCATTCATTCAGTTACTTTAAGGAAATGTTCTGCCTAGATTGCTTAAAGCAGAGGTTCACAAAGTGTGGGGCCCGCCATTGCAGGAGGGGCGCGTATGAAAAGGAAAAAAAAGAACGCTTGGACACTGCTAGCATAATGGACAGGTTTTTGACGGGCTTCCACACAAACGCAAAGCAGGAGATGAAGCATCACCTAAAATGTTTCCAAACCAACTTCCTTCCAAGCCAAAGACTAGAAAATATGGTGAAGCATATCTTCCCATTGGCTTCACCTGCACAAGTGCCAAGGTTGGTCTCTGCGACAGAATTACTTCCGCCTGCGCGGGGAGCACGCGCTGGGCTCTCCAAATCGCGGACAAACAGTATCCCACATTCTTGATTTTTAGTTCACAAACACTTCTTGTAATGACTAACTACTCCTGACATTTTGGAGATGTTTGCTCTTTATACAGTAACGTTACAGTGGGATACAAATAATATCAGGCTGATCCTGCCACAGTTTGTTCCCCCTGTCTAAATCAGGACAAACAGTATCCCACAGCTGTTTATGTTTTTAAACCCATTTTGCACAGAGAGGCTTTTTTTTGAAAAATGTATTGATAGCAATGTTGAACATTATTACACAGGAAAAAAAAAACTACACGTAAAATAATCACACCATGACGCCCCTGCCTTTCTAAATGGAGGGACAGTAACTGCGTGTGTATATGTAAGCGTGTAAAAACTGCAGATAGATTAACAGTATTTTGTCTCTATCTGCCATTGTAGAAATTCATCTCATGTAAACAATAACGTGACGCACAGCGTGACGTGAAAAAAGGCACATACCTTTGACGTTGCGTGACGAACTCTGTATTCCTCGTCCACACGTACGGAGTTTTAAAAAAATTGCATTTTTCGGTGATTTGAAAAGACGTTTATCTGTGGACGATAGAAAAAACAGCATTTTCAAAAATACCCGTGTAGCTGTGGACGTAGTGTAAAAGCAACCCGTTCTCACTCCCAAAGCGTAACATTTTACGCTAGGTGACAAATCGTCAACATATTACGTTTTCGGCTACCCACCACGTTCCTAAATGACGACCCCGGAAAAAGAGGAAATATGAGAACCGTCTGGACTGAACCTACACATGTTCGCTCTTTTTCTTCAAATCGCTTAGAAACACGCTATTTAACATCATTAAAGTCCTGGTTAAGGTCAGGAATAAGGTTATGGTCAGGGCTAGGGATAAGGTTAGGTTTAGGGCTGGAATACAGGGCTGGAACGTCTATTACCGCGGGAGCGTCATTGCACTGGATTCCAGCCATAACCCGCCGCGTACCATAAGAACGCCGAAGGTCTCCTTTCGCGTTCCTCAGGAACGCCGCGGGACGTGACAAAACGTCGACATGTTACGCCTCGGGAGTGAGAACGCTCTGTGTAAAAGAGTTAGTAGGCTAATTTATTTCATTGCTACCTGTAATTTATTGCAGTTTACATTTATTCATGTAATTGTTTAGGGGAGACCGGGGATAGTTGTAACATTTTTGACATTTCTGTCTGTAAATTGGAGCTCTTTTAAGGTAGTGGATTCAAAATGTAATGCAAAGTATTTACATGTCTCTGCTATTAAATAGTGCAGCTATTTTCTCTGCAGCACAATTACCCATTGCATGGTATGGTCCTCAAACACAAAGAGTGAAATGTTACAATTAACCCCATAGTCTGGGTTAGTTGTAACATATCCTGGGGTGAAAATGTAACACAATGAAATAAGGGTACTAACAAAACATTAACATGTAATCTTTGTTTATTCAACACATGAATGCACTTACATCCATTTATGTAGCTCTGTGTGTGTGTGACAGAATGCAGAAATCTAGCTTTTGAACATATTCCAACCCCCCAAAAAAGACAAATTATGGAATTTTCTGCAACTGAATATTTCATTAATTTTGGTTGGTCTTCCTTGAGTTTGGCCTCATTGGCTCAGTGGGCATTATAACCTACAACTCTTGCACCAATTTTGAACATAACAATGAAGCTGAAAAAATGTAAATGTAGCGTCACTCTGAGACAGGATATTTCTAACTTTAGAGATGTTGCGCAAATGGAAGAACGCAGTCTTACATATTTGTTTAATATGTGGTTGAAGGACATATCCTGGTCAAAAATGACTCCAAGGTTCCTCACAGCGTTACTGGAGGCCAAGGTAATGCCATCCAGAGTAAGAATCTGGTTAGATACCATATTTCTAAGATTTTCAGGGCCGAGTACAATAACCTCAGTTTTATCTGAATTAAGAAGCAGAAAGTTAGCGGCCATCCAGGTCTTTATGTCTTTAAGACATTCCTGCAGTTTAACTAATTGGTGTGTGTTATCTGGCTTCATGGACAGATAGAGCTGGGTGTCATCTGCATAGCAGTGAAAATGTATGCTATGTCTTCTAATGATACTGCCTAAGGGAAGCATGTATAATGTAAACAGAATTGGTCCTAGCACTGAACCCTGTGGAACTCCATAATTAACCTCAGTGTATGAAGAGGACTCTCCATTTACATGCACAAACTGGAGTCTATTAGATAGATATGATACAAACCACTGCAGTGCAGTACCTGTAATACCTACAGCATGTTCTAATCGCTCTAATAGGATATTATGGTCAACAGTATCGAATGCTGCACTAAGGTCTAGCAGGACAAGCACAGAGATGAGTCCACAGTCAGAGGCCATAAGAAGATCATTTGTAACCTTCACTAAAGCTGTTTCTGTTTCTGTGCTGTGATGAACTCTGAAACCTGACTGAAACTCTTCAAATAAACCATTCCTCTGCAGATGATCTGTTAGCTGTTTGACAACTACTCTTTCAAGGATTTTTGATATGAAAGGAAGGTTGGAGATTGGCCTATAATTAGCTAAGACTGCTGGGTCTAGAGTAAAGGTTTAACTACAGCCAGCTTGAAGGCCTGTGGTACATAGCCACAGGCCTTCAAGCTCTCTGCTGACCATTGGAATGGTCAGCAGAGAGCGACTTCTCTGATTGCAAATACACATCTGGTTGTATAGAAATCTATGGGAAAACTGACTGCCCTTATTAGGCCTCACCAAACACTTTGTTGATAGGTTTGTGGGTGAAATGACTAGTTTCCGGTAATTTTGAGCAAAATATGATGCTCATTTTGTAAAAAACAAAAAAAAGGTTTAGTAATTTTTTGAATGTCTTTTATTCCTGTAGACTGCTTCTCAGTTGGACAGCACAGCCTCAGGACACGTGGACATTAAATATGAGGATTTTCCATTTACTCCGACCTCCTTGGCTCCACAGAATTCCTGGTGTGCGCTGTCTCAAGCATGAACAAGCTCTGCCACAAGGGCAATACTGACCCGACTTGACTGATCAGTAAGGTTATCCCACCATCCTGAAACTTCTCCTTAACAACTCTGAAGCTGTGGAGGGCCAACATAGTGGGTCATAACCAGACAGTTATGACCCACTGTTATCAAAAGGGACTGTACAATTTCATTCTAAGGACATCTAATGTATTTTCTATATTATATATTGTAACACACTGGCTATGTAATGGAAGCATAAACGGCTCTCCTGGACTGCATTTTTGAAGGATGCATGTGAGCTTTCCAAAGACTCTGGACTGGCCCTGGCTTTTCTAAACTCATATCTAGCAACTTCATTTTCTCAGAGGGACAACAACTACTACCTATTGCTAAAAGATATTGCTGTTTTTGGGAATAATCTACACAGCAAACCAATGCAAGGATGATTGAGTTTGATTTTATGAGCTTTAACTCCTTTAGCCCCCTTTTTTATGACTTCCATCCAACTTCGTGTGGGTCATTCGTTGCTTCAGTCTGAAATTGTCAGAGGGGAAAGCAAAGTTTGTTGTTAATGGTTATGCACAAAACAAGTTGGTTAGTTTTGGTCAAGATCATATTTTTTATTGCTTAAAAAATGCTCCAGACTTTGTTTCTCGGGTGCCAAGTTCCACCTCTTCTATAGGTAAGAAACACCTGGCACATTTTATATGCAGTTATTCATATAGCTATTAATGCTACTAAAGTTTAAAACCTAAGGGTCATAGCAACTTGCAAAGACTACTCATAACAGTTTCATTCATGTTCCTTACTGTCACTAATGTGATAAAATGTCATGGTTTTCTATAAGGTTTTCAAGAACATGTTTTCATGTTGTTGTCACTGCAAGAAAGAAATCCAGAAAATGCCTTTATGGCTGTTGAACATGTCTCATTCCCTTGTAGATAATTAACTTTTATAGGCACATTATTTGTGTTGAGATAAGGACTGTTAAAAGTCATTGTAGACACTAAAACCAGCCAGTTATGACCCACTGTTCTCCATGTAGAATGGCTTTTGTGCTGTATGTGTCTAAGTGGTGATGCTTAGATTATGGTAGATTTATTTTTACAAGAAACAGAAGAGATAAAATGCATCCTGCAAGAGTTATTTGAAAACCAGGAGCAGTCATTTTAATTCTGACATGATGACATATCAGAATTTTTACCATTTTACTGCTCTAAAATTTGATCTTAATGAAAGTGCAATTATTTTTTTTCTTCAAAAATCGAAGACAAAACAAAGTGTGAAATTGTTGTAAACATTATTATCTAAATTTATTATCTGTGTTTTGTTAATATGTAAGGAACTGTTATTTTGTTAGGAGTTGTTTTGGGTCTTTTTTCTTCAGTGCTCTTTGAATCTGTTAAATTTAATAAAACTGATTCAAATTTTAAAAATCTGATGAATGGAATGATTTTTGAATGAATCTTTATTGTACAATCGAACTGCCTGCTCAGCATCACTCCAGTTTTATTCATGTAGGTGAATATTCTGAAAATGTTTTCAACACTTTTAACTATCAATCATATTGGTGAAACTGTTCACCAACTAAAACATTTAATTAAAATAATTGAACCTACTCTATTTTAGCTACTTAATGAAAGTGTTACTACCGGTACTTACAGATGTATTATTTTTAGTCGCAGTTCAGCCTGTTAGCCATTACTTTTATTTCTTACCATTATTATTTCCAGCTATTTCAACAGTCAATCTCAATACTTGTAGATATTTTTACTTTTTTATAAACATCAATTTTTGGGTCAGTATTTCAGGCTGTGGTCCATATTAATAAAGTAATGTTTGTAAAGTAAGTGTTAGTAAAACTGAAGCAGAAATTGGGAAGTTTAAGCTGTTTTAATCTGATTTGACTTTATTTTTTTCCTTTTATTGTTACAATGACCATCAAAAGAAAAGTTATTTTGAAACATTTTGCCCATTAACCATCCACTGAACTGCCAAGAGGTATTTTATGGCCAGGGATTTTATACCACATTGCAAGATTTACTTTTAGCAAAGAGCACTCCACACTTTAGGTATACATGTCAATTTTTTTACTGCCTTGCAATACTTGTTGTAGGCAGTTGTGTGTATTTGTGCAGGTATTAGTCTACAGTGGGCCTATGCAGACACACACATGCTCCTGTGCAGTCCTCTAAAAACCCAACATCGTGAAACTGTGTGTAAGCTGATTTGCTGAAAGTAGACTGGAACAGAGACGGAAACCAACCAACAATGGAAGAAAGAAAAAAAGAAAAACAAACAAACACAAAAATACAGCATGAAAAGCACAGATAGTGGACACTTCATTGTTTTTAACACTGTTTCCCCTCAGCTCTTCTCCAGGCCTGCCTGAAGGGCCAACGGCAACCTGAGGAACAGCATCCCAAAGACTAATTGTACCATATACTTTAGACACTGCCTCCATCTGGCAAGAGACGTTCTCTGCAGGTAAAAGAGCCTGTCCATAGCTCCCTACTGTCTGCCAACGCAGTGCCAACAGAGAACCATATTCAACACATAAGCTGGATCACCAGTGCAGTGAATTGCTCATTATGAAAGGTGTCAGAAAACTGAGAGTTGGTTTACAGCTATATTGCTTTGATTATTTCTTATGATCTTTATAAATGCACACACAAATGTGGATTGCTCTAGTTTTAATAATCCATAACTTTATTTATTTCTGCCAGCTCATGTGAACTTCATTCATACGGACTTGCAACAGAAAGTCAGGTTAATGTTTATTTTAAATTTTTCCCATACTGGGATCACAACAGTCTTTCTTCCCAAGGGCAAAGGTGATAATTGTTAACCATATCATATGTTTTATGATTACTTTTTATTAATTTTTTTATTTAACTTTTTCAATTAAATTTTTTTTGACATTTCGTGCCCCATGCTAACTTCTAAATACATGGACTTTAAAACTATCAGGTAACTTTCTCTTGATTCAGATCCCTGGTCCACTGTCATTGTGCATTTCTAATAATACTGCTTGCCTTGGTGATTAGGCTTTACTGTATACTTTCATGTATATGCTTGCATTAATACTTAATTTTGTGTATATAAGCAGGGTGTGTTCCCCTGTTAGTTGCTTAAGCCAGCACTGTCGACCAAAGGTTGCATTCCAACTCCACTTTATGATAGCTGGGTCAGAATTAGCTGCACAGTCTCGGAAATTACAGACATGTCAGCAACAAGGCTGCTGCTTTACTGCTGTCGTGGCGACATCCAGGCACCACCAGCAATGCCCAGCTTTATGACTGTTGGCCAAGATTTTGCTGTCTTATCTGTTGCCGGGAGAGGCCTGTTACAGTGTGATGCGAAGATGCAGACACATGAATTCTAAGCGTGGGAGGAAGAAGAATAAATTGGGTGCTTAAAATGAATTCCAGGAGATTTTGAGAACAGGAGGGCATTCTACCCACAGAAAGTGGCAATTTTGCTTGTTTTGAAGTGTTGTTACTTTATTCTCTTATATATAAAAATGTAATTTATTATTGTGTAATTTCACCTTAAAGGAGTGTTGAATAACATTTTAACTTCATGTTGTCCAAATACATTCTGAAACTGTAAACTAATTGATTTCTAGAGTTAGTTTAGCACAGTCGAGCTTCTGTACTAAAAGAGGATATTAATAGGTTTAAGAATTTTTATAGATTTTTTTTAAAAAATCTAGTTGCTCTTATAACATCAGATGAACAGAACTGGATAGCAAATAAATATGAGTTGTGCAAGATGACTAATTTGTTAAACTGAGTCTTTTTGCATCTCAGTCAAAGTTGGTGTATATTTTAATGCATTACAGTATAAAGTCACAATGGTCTGTTGTTTGATGAAAGTACCAGCACAGGAATATTACCTCAAGCCTCACATTTAAAGCTTCAGATATCGTGTGAACGACAGAGGGTTACTTGCCAGTATTATGCCGAGTTCCTCTTGAAGTTGGAATTCATTATAATTTTCGACTGGAACTTGGGAAAGTCAAGACTGTCATGACATGGCAGTAAAACTGTAAACTCTTACCCTGTACTACCACTGCTGTCTATTTACAACTCTCTAAATAATATTGTGCTTTTAAAGCACAACAGGCATTGCACTTTATTGCAAGTAATGAATGCCTCTACTTTGCTAGGGAGTAAAACAAAGGCTTTCTTATAGTACTACTGGAATGCAGTCATCAGCATTTTGTAAATTCAAGTATATTTACTCAGCCATAAGATACGCAACCCTTCTGTTCTGTTCAAGATGGTAAAATAAGATTTGGAGCACTATAGGGTCATCTTAAATTAATATTACGATAATATCAGAAATTATACGCTAAAGACGTAACCTTTTTTAAAAGCTGTCTAGTACAACACAGTACACTTGGTATTCCATCTTTAGGATGGATATTTGAGGGTTTATATTGAAAGACCTCATTTTTTCCGAACTGCAGTGTGAGTGAAATAGATATAATCTCAAAGTCAATACTTGGACTCCCCTCATACCCACATAATCCCAAAACAAACACACACACACACAGTGCTACCAGCACCACCTCCTTTCTTCCACTGACACCTAAGTACTAAAGAGACAGCTTCGCCACTTAAAAACAATCCCCGTTTACACTCAATTGTCTGTGAATTGAGGGGCTTCATTACAGCAGTATCAGAGTAAAACCACAGGAGTGTGACTGGAGGATGAGGGGTAAAGATGTTTGAGGAACCCCTCATCTGTGACATCGACCTTCCACTGCAGTGCCTCTTGGTTTTAGTAAGTTTTTGTTTTATTCCCTGTAAAGAGGAGTTGTAAATTATAAATGCCTGTAGAAGGAAATGTGTTTTTCAGAATATCTCACACAGTGAACAACAATGTTCACTGTGGAAATATCACGTGTTTCCATCCAAATACATAAAAAAACTTTTTTTAAAAAGCTTCTAAAAATACTTACATCTCTCAAATACTTTTCAGACTGCCATGAAGAATCTTCGTGGTTGTGGTACATCTTGTGGTACTACCTGAAGTTTCTTTTTGCACAATAATCAGGTCATGTGGAAATCTTATATTTCTGAACAAATGCTCCTAAAACTAATTGTACAAGAATTACATTCAAACCATGAAATTCTCCCTGCTGCTGCCTAAATGGATGAATCTTCCCGAAAAATGCAACGGCAAGTTTGATCCAGAAAATTTTGAATTTTGTGTTATTTTTTTGCAATCCAGTTTTTAGTCTTGAATAAAAATGGAGAGGCTTCTTTTATGATATCAAGAGAATTCTACTAAAGCTAGAAGCTTGCTTCTAATTCCTCATATCTTCCACACACTATTCATTTTTGTAAAGTCTCTAAATATATAGTGTTTCCTTCTGCTTTTTTCCCCCCTCAGATGTAGTCTAATTTAATGCTTTTAGGTTAAATAATCTAATGTGTTCATTTCACCTGACAGCCAGTGCTGACAAAGAAACCTTCAGTTTGATTTGAAACTGCAAGCATCAAGGCTGGGGTCATAGTGATGTCAAGGCAATGATGACTGCTCAGTTTCTGTAACAATTTTTAAGTTTCGTGTGTCAGAGCTCCCCGTAACCTGACTCATCATTCAAAACAGCGGTTTCCTTTTTAACTCTTTGGATGCTTTTAAGAGTTCTACGTTTCTTCTTCCTTCATCACCTTGGCACCGTTCTGTCTTCCTGGTCGGCTCTGGGACAGCTAAGAGTGTGTGTGTGTGTGTGTGTGTGTGTGTGTGTGTGTGTGTGTGTGTGTGTGTGTGTGTGTGTTGCAGCTCAGTTCCTGGACAGACATGGGGGAAATGGCCACAGACCGTTCAGTTGCTGCCTTTAACTAATAGGATATTCTCTTCTGCACTACTTTAAAGTCCATTTGTGTTGTGTGTGTGTGAGTGTATGTGGGTGTGTACGAGACAGGGAATCTGAGAATAGCACACACATTTATTGAACTAATTTCCGGCCTTTAAATCAAAATTTCTGCCAGCTGTCTTGTCAGTGGTTTGCCCAGAGGTCCTATTTTTTCTTCACTGTGACAGGACCAAAAAGCTGTACGTGTATTTGTATTTGTGTTTCACTTGAATATCTCATGTAATCTACAACTTTTCCCTTGCCAAAGCCTGACGTTCTCCTTGTGGGATGTGTTTTTTCACATAACTGTAATTACTGGCTGTGGAGCCCTTTCCACTGTTTCCTCAGTACAAAAGAGAGACAGCGTAATGCCAAGAGGCCTGTCACTCAAACACAATGGTCTCAGATCTACAACAAGCAAACCACAAACTCAGTTTCACAAAGTTTTAATACAGTGTTGCTTAATACTTGCCACAAATACTTTTTGGAAACACTGGCTATAGATAATGTTTTGGTGGACCTCTTCTTTCTCTTTTCCTTTTTTTCTTAAATGTTGGTCGACTGATAGTTGCTAATTCAAACTTAAATTATTTACATCTGATGAAAATTTTAACACAATGTGGTATAGTTCATATTAAATCATTTATATTTAGCTTACATTAAAAACAAAGATAAATAGGGTGATATTTTTTGGTAATTTTGAAACTTGCCTCATGACATTTAATATACGGTTAAGGTTATTCTCAGCAAATGTATCGGTGGCCCTGTACTTTTGTCCATAGTGTAAATAAAGATTACTGAAACATGTGCAAATCAAAACTGCTCTGATCAAGTTCAAGGATCAACACATGGAGTGGAGATCCTTTTTGTACTTAATAGTACTTTCTCCCTGAAGGAAAGCCAGCTATAGGTATTGTTTGTGTCTTGGCCAAGTTCTGCAGAGAATCTGTGAGTTCATTTGACCCAGGGAGCATTTAAATAGACAAACATAATTGTATAGTCAGAAGCCAGAGGAAACCAGATAAAATATAGATAAAATGATAGTGTATCTGTACGACAAAACGATGACTATAGTAAGAATACAGTATTTTGGTAGGTTCTACGGCTGATTTGTTAATTGCTGTTGTAGAAAGAAATCCTCCTGTTTTCTGGCTCTGTCTCTGAAGTGGCAGGTTACACTGTCATGCTGGTGTGGTAGAAAACGTTTGAGGGGGGCTAGCTGCATGTCATCGCATGATTTGTTTCACCCCAGAAACCCCCATTCTTTTGTGATTTATTGTTCTGTTCACTGATGAGCTCCCAGCAGAGTCACATCTGTTTCTACTAACCAATGATCAGCATTCATGAATATTAACTAATTACAGGTACTTTTTTATAACCAAAGTCATTGAAATGTATTTATCTGACATAATATCAATTACTGTGCATGTGTAAGGCTGAATAAAGACTACTATTGTTCACAGAGGAACACGTACTCAAGTGGTTAAAGGTCACACAATGAGCAGGGCAAAGGTTATAATACAACAAGGGCCCCATAAACCAAAGTACGTGTTATCTAGGGAGAAGTGCACAGGAGAAAAACACACTGTTTTTTTTCTCCTTACAATTGAAAGTAACATTGTAATCTTTACTCATACTTCAAAGAATATGTACTTGTGCAAAAATAAATCATCCCACCTCCTTGATTTATATTTCATTTGCTGGCAGACAAAGCGAAGTAATTTAGTAAATTATGATTTCAACTTCTTTTAAAGAATTGGTGTTTAGCAGAGACTACCATTTACTTCAGCTCTGTGTGACTTGTGCTTTGAGAGCATGGATGTGTCTGATTTGTCACCATTGTTCCACTCTGCTATAGA